GGGGGGGGTTGGGATCTGCAAGTCTGCCCTGTGGCTGCCCTGCTGGCCAGCTCTCTAGCCACAGTATAGGCCAGGGGGAAAAGGGGGAGAGGCACACCATGCAGCTTTGAATCACCCCTGATTGCCCCTACCACAACTTGGTTTGCCTCTCTGGGCACATCCAGACCAGTGCGCATGTACCTCTTGCAGTGTCACTGCAAGAGGCACATGTGGGAATAAAAAAATGTTCCCCACGCTGCAGATTTGCAGTGTGGAGGCAAAATTAGACCCCCGGATATGGAGTAAAAAAAAAACTACAGGGGAAAAAAGCGGGACAGGGCACAGTCCCAGACCATGCCCTGAGGCAACCAGAGGCTTGGTTCTCCCCAGAGAGGCTCTGGTAGCCAGTCAGAGTGTCTCTGTGGCTGGCCTTTGCCCCTGTGCTGAAGCACACTGCCTGCCCATGTGGGGCAGGGAGCTATGCAAGCTGCAGGGACCTAAACCCGGGCTCCTGCTAGTAAGTAGGGGGAAGGAGTGCTGGAGAAGTGGGGAGGGGACCATGGGGGGACTGCTGCCGCCCCTCCACCTGCCCCCTGAAGCCCCCTGATAGCTGCCCCACTTGGCCCCATCCCTTGCCTGCCCCACTTGGCCCCATCCCTTGCCTGCCCCCACGAGCCTCCCTGATTACTGCCCTGCCTGGCTCCATCCCCCAGGTACCCCTGGGCCCCCCTGATTTCTGCCGTGCCTGGCCCCATAGCTTGGCTGCCCCCCGAGCCTCCCAATCACTGCCCCACCTGATCCCATCCCCTGCCTGCCCCCTGAGAACCCCGATCACTGCCCCACCCAGCCCTAGCATCTCAGCAATTAAAAAAACCCCCAAACCTGCACTCATTGGCAGTAGCAGCTGCCATTGGGGTCACTGGGGCCTTGTGGAAGACACCCCCCCCCCGCCATCCTGGTTAGTAAAGGGATCACAGGGAGCTCTAACTGCTTTATCATAAAAAAACAAAAGGCAAACAGCAAAACATATAGGTATTTAGAATTCATTTTATTATGATGATGGACACACTGGTAGGTTTCCAAATTGCTTTAACACTATAGATATATCAATAAAACATTTCCCAACTGATCACTGTCTCTCACTCTCTCTCTATATATAGTAGTCTTTTGTTTTAATTGTGGAGGAACATGGATTTTATGGTATTTTACAGAGTGACTTTGGGATTTTTTTATCAGGAATTTTTCAGTTTTCAAATAAGAAACACCAGAATTCCTGTTTGGGAGCCAAGTGGCAGGACCCAGGCAGAGGAGCTTGCTCAGAGCTGGCACCTTGGACCTGGCTGGAGGTGGCTGATCTCCTGGCCAGTTGGGGCCAGGAGGACTTGCTTTGGCAGTTCACAGCAGGCCACCACACTGGGAACATCTTCTGGGCAGTATGTACCCAGATGGCTGGGCAGGTCAGTAGTGCCACGCAAAAGCCAACTCTGCAGCCACAGCCCACTAGCAACTGGCTCAGAGGGGTAGGTGCCTCTACTGGCTCTGCAGTCCCCATCCAGGTCTGGCAGGTGTGCAGCAGGTCACAGCCAGGCAGCAGCCCCCACTGCTGGAGTGGGTAAAGGGTGCAGGGGCCACTCCAGGTTAGGGCTGCTTCAGCAGTCCAGCTGACACAGGGTGTAGTGTCCTCAGGTACCAATTGGCTGGGCCCCAGAGGCTCCTGAGAGCAAGTAGCCCTGAGCTACTTAAAGGGCAGCTTTTTGTACTGATGGGGCTAGGACAGGGCAGCTATTTATAATGCTGGGGACAACACAGGTGCTGCCAGGCTGTTGTGCAGTCTAGCAGGGAGTGTGCAGGCCCAATCTGGGGATGCAGGTAGCTGCCAGGCCCATCCTCCCCTTTCCCATGGCTACTCCCCACCCCTTCCCTATTCCCCCTATCCTCCTTGTCCCCTTTTCACTGTAGAGGGCTTCTGGGAAGCTGCAGGGCCTGGCAGGTGCAGTACAGGCTCAATCTAAGCATGCAGGGAGCTTCCAGACCTACCTACACCCCTCCCATGGCTGCCTGGCAGATCTCCAACCGTCCACTTCCTGCCTCCTATGCCTTCCCCTTCCCGTGCCCCCCTCATTCTGCCCCCTCCACTCCTACACCCCCTTCCCAACAACCCCTCCCTACTTACCCCTCCTTAATCACCTTCTGCTCTGTTCTCCCCAGCTTTCAGTGCAGGGCCACTGAGTTCTGGAGGGTACCCACTGTATGCAGGGAACAGTGCCTCATGCAATGCCGGAGGAATGCAAATTGGTCACTTTGTCTCAGTGGAGCAGCCACAAGTTAGAGTAACATGAGCTGTGTAGCGGGGTTCAGAGATAATCTTTGCCTAATGTGGCATAACTTTAAGATACCTAGAAGGCACTAGCACTTGTTAATGAGCCTTAATATGCAGCCTATCTCATTTTAAGTGCCTTAAATATGGTTTTAAATATGCCATGAGTTTTGCCTCCCAGCTGATCAGCAGTGAGCATCATGGCTGCCAAGGCCCTTCCACCAATTGGCGGGAGGTGGGCCATGCGGCAAAAACAACAAGATTAAAGGAACTGCTGCACAGCTCACTTCCTCCATGATTTGGCTACATATTAGCTGGAGAGTGGTATTAGCACTAGGATGGCTTTGTACAGGCCAGCAGATGGAGACTTGTTTGTCTGGGAGATTTCATGATCTATGGCAGGGGTGGGCAAAATATGGCCTGCAGCCTGAATCTGACCTTTCAGATGATTTCATCTGGCCTGTGGGTGGGCACCCACCAATTAACTGTAGCCAGCCTAGCCTGTGGATGCCCCTGCCACACTCTGCATGAGGTTTAACCCCTTCCAGCCCCCCAAGGCAGAATGCTGCACTCCTACCCTGTGTGCATGAAAGGGCCCAAGCCCTGGCCCTGGCCCATGCCAGTGCATACAACTTCAGGGTAGGGCTGCTGCTGCCACTGCTGCAGGTGCCCAAGGAACTGCACAGCTCCCCTGGCCTCCAGAGGTTCCTCCTCATGTCCCTGCTGCAGCACTCTGAGCAGCAGGTAGGAAAGCAAGGGGCTGGGGGGGTGGGGAGCTGCAGCTGGGTGGGCACACAGAACATGGGCTGGGGCTGGTGGGAATGTAGAATCTGGAGTGCAGTGCCTGTGCCCAGTGGGGCGGTGGGAACACAGAGTGTGGGTCAGGACGTGCACACCACCAGGGAGAAGCTCAGTGTGATGGACCCAGAAGCCTTCCCCACTCTCTGCCACCACACGCAGCTCCCAGGACTCCACTGGAAGTGTTGGGAAACTCTGTGCAATGGAGCTAGGCCAGCTTGGCCCCACTATCTGCTCCCTGATGGCATCCTGGGAGCTGCACATGGTGACAGAGAGTGGGGTTAGGCTGCCAGCACCATCACTTGGAGCTTCCCTTATGGTGCATGGCTCTAGCCTGCTCCCTGGAGCTGAACGTGAGCCACAGGGAGCCACACAATATGAAGCTGGGCTGGTCTGGCCCCATTCCCTGCCACCATGTGCAGCTCTCAGAATTAGCGGGAGCTGAATGCTGGCACAGGCAATGAACACCTTAACAGGCCACCACCTGCTGCTGCTGCCAGTGACAGGGGCTGTGTGCCATGGCAGGGGATGTGGGGGAGATCTACACACATCCCAAAATACCCACCCACAGTCTGTTCACACCCCCCCCACAAATCCCACACCCCACACCCTGCCCACACTCCCCACACACACCCTCAACCCCTGCACACACTACACCCACACCCCACACAACCCCCCCACACCCACACCCTCCTCCACACACACAGTCCCCCCATACAACCCACACCCCTGTCCCCCAAAACAGACCCCTAGACCCCACCACACACACCCATATCCTCCCCAATCCTCTCCACACACACCCTCTCACCTCACCAGGACCCCTCTGCACATTCACACAGCCACACCCCAACTCTGCGCCCCACACACCCCTACAAACCCCACACCCACCCATACACACACCCATACCCTGCCATACAAATACCCACCCCCAGCCACACCTCCCACATACAATATACAAGAGTAAGACTTTTTTTTGAGCTATTATGCAATTGCCTCTATACTCTATGCAAACACACGTACATCAGGACAAAAATATTTGTTTTTCAATAAAATTAAAATATTTTATAGTAGGTGTTTGGTTTTTAGTATATGATTTAGTTTTTTTTCTGGTTCTATGAGGGCAACCCTCCCCCAAAGGTGTACTTCTGGGGGCAAGGGCAGGGTGGATCCAGTGGCAAAGGTGAGGGGTTAGGACTGAACTTCCAGTCCCAAAAATGGCAACTAGTGGGCAGGGCACCTGTCAAAGGGCAGGGCAAACCTTGCAGACTTTGACATCTCACCAAAACTCATTAAGTAGCCCTCCAATCAAAATAATTGCCCATCCCTGATCTATGGACTTAGGTAAAACCTGAGTAGTATTTTTGGGAATGTCAGTGGTGACAAAATGGTAGAAATAGGAGCCTCAAGAGTTATAAAATATACCTAAGTACCTCTCAAGTTTTAGACCTAGGCCTTGTCCAGAGGTCATGGAAGAAATCTGTAACAATTCCAAGAACTGAAACTAGACCATCTGAAGATCAAAGCACTGCCTTAATCACAAACTATTCTTTTATGCATCACTTTCTATGCCAGCAGTCTTTGAAAAGATCAGACACCACTGACAGCCCTTAGAGGAACTGATTGTTTAGGGGAAAAATCAGAACGAATGTAGGTTATTTTTAAAGTTCTGAGAACTTCCCATTCCTGATTAGGTATGGGGAAACATGGTTATCTGATGGGCATTTCCTTCTCAAGAACCAAGGCAGGTGGCTGAATCAAAACTCCTTTGAAATGAAAGCACATTGGATTAGTGCTTATCCAGAGGATTCATCCAAGGGAGGCTAAATTTCTTTAAGTACATTATTTTCTCTCTATAGCTATTTTTCCTCCAGTCAAAAGTAGATGGTTTTATTATTAAAACACAGTAACAATAATGCTTGTTATTTTCCAAACAATTATTTTCATTAATAGCTCTGAGGCCATGCTTTTTTGAAAGTTATTTATACTAAGACTTCAGGAGAAGGGCGGTTATTTTTAACACAGTCTTAATACCATTATCCTAGTCACATGACACTCATTCTGCTATAGGAATAGATGATTTCCCAACCTTTCAAGATGGGTACGTAAACCTTGCCGGCATAAAAAGGTAGAACACCAAAAATAGAACTGATTATGACACCACTACTAATAAAGTAATTTCTCTCAAAAAGGTCCCCTCCTGCTGGGCAGGGTGCTCTCCTATTGATGTCAAGAAGACACATTAAGTCAATTGGAATATTGTTGCATAAACTGTAGGCACTGTAGTTGCATGTCTTGATCTACAAGTGTAAGTACTCTTTCAATCTACTGCAGGGACTTCCCATTTATTTTCACCTCCTACCTACAAAAAGAGGCCATTGGACCAACATTAATTTCTAATATGTCTAATGATTTATACTCTATAAGGAAGAGGCATGAGTTATTTATTCTAACTGCCCCTCATTTCTTAGATGGGAGGCAACATTGGACTAAGACACAAGAAATGGGGATTCTGTTCCCAACTCTCCCACAGGCCTACTAGGTGCCCTTGGGCATTTGATTTCAGCTATCTCTACCTAGGTTTCCATTTTTAGAAAACAGTGAAAACTTAATGCAGTTTGTATTATGATTTGAAATCTACTGATGCATTTATGTATGAGCCATTGCATACCAAAGCAGAGGTTAACCAGGCAGCTTTTGAATTACTTCCCTTTATAGCTGAAATGGATAAGAGCCGCATGAAAATAAGTGCTCAGACTATAGAAGGGGAAGTTTCCTGAAAAACACTATGGGAAAGGGGGTCATAGACTGCCCGAGCTTATCCTCCAGGTGATAACCTGTTTGAAAAGTGTTAGAGTTCCAGCATTAAGGATCAAAACCGAACATGGAACCAGAAACCCAAATGATGAAGCAGGAGAATGAATGCACCAGATGGATCTTCTGTCTCTCCCTACATTTTCACAACATGCTGAATAATGCCATGCCTGCAGCAAGGACAATTCCATTTACAGCACTCCACACTTTACAGCAGCCCATTTGCTGAGCTGCATTATTGATGGAGGAGCCTAAAAGTGTAATTGGGAAGTCAGAGCAGAAACAGTGGGGGTATTTTGGAAGGGTGCTTTACAAAATTAATGGGATTTAAGGAAAAGCCCACATGTTCCCCAGCTTTTATTTGTCCAACAAAGTACATATTCTGTATATTTAATAAATCCTATTTTAGCTAAATAATTCAAGTGTTGGTTATGCAACCAGGCAGCCAGCAAATGATGCCTCATAAAACGCCTTCATAAAAACTGAGATTGATGCATCCAATTCCTAATTTCCCTTGAAAAGAAACTGATGAAAAGAGACCTTTGAGACCTGTCTATACTACTTTGACACTTTACATTTCTTCTTTGGCAGAAACCCTTTTAATGGGCCAAACATATAATAAAATGGATACTGCTGTTGCATTCTAAATGGTTCCTGGCAATGCACTTTTGGGAGCCTATGTTGATTAGTGCATTGTTTCTGGGACAGAAACAATGAGGAATACTTCTGATCTGACTCTCAGCTTGAAAGCAGTCTGGCCATATTCTAGAAATCCTAGGGTTCTGATATTTACTATGCTCTCCCATCATGAAAGCTAGAAAGAGAATAATGGAAAGATATTCCTACATCAGGCAGCATCTCTATTATCTACCTCATCTCTCTGCTGGAAAAATCCAGCCTCCCTCCTCAACACTGCCTTCAGCTTCTCTACCATAGCAATTGAGGAAGTTTAATCTACCTGTTGAGGCAGTTTCTGTAGTCCCTGTGGGGAAATATAAAGTAGGGACTGGACTAGGTGACCTCATGAGGTCCCTCTCAGCCCTTTTTCCCTATGATCCTAAGATTCTTCTCCATGGTAATATATCCTAAAGCGGGTATGGCCTTGAGGGAGTTACTATTATTGCTAAGAATATAAAAGAGAGTGACTGTGACTAGGCATTATTTCAGGACACTCATTTGTACTATTTATGGGTTGTAAGGGGACACCTCAGAAAGAAAGTGGAATCACAGTTATAAGAACCACAGCACATAGAGGAATAACCTCTGTGAGCAACAAGTATGGAGTACTAAGGAACAAGAAACTCCAAGTAGGTAGTTATGAACTAGCTTGCCAACCAGGGAAGCTCTTGTTTAACTAACTTCCATTAGTGGTTGGATAATATCCCAAGGTAATAAATAGTTCATGTCTCCCTTACACAGTTGTTATCCTATTTAACATAACCATGGATGGCCTGTTATCCAGAAGTGTAAGCCCTAAATACACTCTTTACTAGCATGGAAATTTCATTGGTTCATAGTACACATCAAGGGAAGATGCTGCCAGGAAGTCATAGTTTGCTCCTCCAAATTGGAACACTCCTTGAGAGGCCATTGGCTGTTAGGGGTGTGCGAAGCGGGCCCTATTTAATTCAGATTTGGCCCAAATCAGGGACAGTGATTCGATTTGTTGATTCGGATCACTGTCTCTGATTTGACTCAGCTGAATCAGAATCTGAAGATTTGGTTCTGATTTGGAGAATCAGCGATTTGGACATGGACACAGCTTTAAAAGTTTTTTCTGTATACCTCGAGGTACCAGTGGGGCTCATGATCACTGCAGTGTTAGGGTGCATGGAGTGTCCCACAGCAGTGTGTGTGTGGTGGGGGGGCCCTCCATGTGCTCGGTGGTGAACCTGGAATTGGGCTGGAAGTACTTCTGGTCCACTTCCGGTTCTACCGGGGAGCATGCTGCCCGCCCCCCTCCTCCCCCCGCATCCCTCCAGCTTGGTGATCAGCCAGAGGGACTCTGGGTGCCCCCCTCCCAGGCCCAGGAGACACCAATCGCCAAGCCAGGTGGTGCCAGACAGCCTCGCAGTGTGGTCCCCTGCAGACCTGGAAGTAGACTGAAAGTGCTTCTGGTCCACTTCCGGGTCTGCTGTCGAGTGTGCTGGGGAGCCCGCCATGCTTCTGTGGGACACTCCATATGCCCCAGCATTGCAGCACTCACAAGCCCCTGCTACCTAGAAGTATGTAGAAAAAACATTTAAAGCTGTCTCTATGTTTGAATCTCTGAATCTTTGCAGATCTCTCCAAATTGATTCAGAGGGTTCCGATTCGATTCAGAGATTAAAGGGTCCTCTGATTCAATTCAGATTTGGAGATTCAGCAACCGAATCAGGCTGAATCTCTGCTGAATCGAATTAGGGAGTGAAGCTTCACACAGTCTTATTGGCTATAGTCAATACAACAAACATAAGGAGTCCAGAGGAACCTGGAATCACATGGAAATTTGACCATTTGAATGTCTGTGTATTTTGGTGGCAAAGAGAGTGACGCATCATTAAATACCTTAATTTTGGTGGCTTATAACTTTGCCAAGCTTGAACCAGCAAAGGGTGGGAAACCTGATGAAGAAAAGAGCCAGTGGAAGCAACAGACTTGAAGGAGATAGGAGCCAGTGCAATAAGTAAAAGAGATATTGGTCTATAAACAGTAAATCACACCTTCATGCCAGAGTCCATTAAATCACACTTCCATTTCAACAGTAAATCATACTGCCATTCGAGACTCCATTCAGAACCTAGAATAGAGTTCTAGTTCCTTACATTCCTCTGCTGTCAGCAATAGCTGTGAGACCCATTGTCAAAGTGTCTGGTCTGCACTAAGGACAATGGCTTATTTCTGCTCCCAATTATTCAATTTGCTCAAATGGTAGAGGTCTGTGATGTGGATCTATTAGACCAATTGTCCTGATGACTCATGGCCTTGCATGATAGAATTTCTCATTTTCTCAGTTTGCAATTAAAGATGTATTGTATTGCATATGCATAAGAAGGTGGGGATGAATTAACATCTCACAAGGAAACTTATTTCCTAACTTTTGATTGCTTGACCATGCAAACTTGACAACTTTCTTTTTTGGATGAAATAGAATACACAGGATGTAAGTTTCCACTCAAAAGAAGAGCTGTAATCAGAGCCATTCAGAACAGAGCACACTGACCCGGTTATCCTTAGGATATATTAGAACCAAAACAACACATCCATCCACAAGAGCATTATACATACACCCTCAGCAGACACGTTCCCAGAATCCAAAATTAGTGTCATTTGGTGTTAGGTCTGCTGCAGTTAAGATGCTATGAGTTTTATACTAGTCCTGTTGACAAGAGACAGTATCCCTGAGGACAGGGAATGCGCTGTCAGCAAGTGATGTTGAAGGTG